CCGCAGGAGGCGCAGGCTCAGCGTCTGCTTCATCTTCCGAGGAGGACACAGTGGTAACCCACTCATTGTCGTCGGTGTCCGCTGGCCCCCGCAACAGATCTGGCAAGCCTCGGCTTTCACTACATTTGCAGATCCCAGAATCCCAGACTCCAGACACAGTCCCATCTGGCTGGCTCGGCCGCGGGCCGCCGCCGCCCGGCCCGCCCCGGCCCCGGCCACTTTAATAAATGATCGCACGACTGAAGCGGGCCAGAGTTTCAGTTTCGGAGTTTCGTTCAGAAGTTTCCGGCGTGGGCCGCCATCATCAAGCCAAGAGTCCTGGCTCCTCACATAGCCTCGTTGGCGCTACGGCTGGGCTGCTGTTGTCGTACGCCTTCTTACTCTGGTTGGGCAGGACCGCCTTGCCAGCAAGCAGCGAGCGATAGTACCTTGGTCGCTGAACGCTAATTACGGGTAAACACAAGCGCTGCTAGTCTCTAGCAGGTTCATTCAACAATTGTAAATTGAAGTTGAATGTTGATTCAATTTTCAACGGGAACTGGAACACCGGAACGGGAAACTGAAAAACTGAAAATATCGTCTCTATCTCTCTCTCTCTCTCTCTCTCTCTCTCTCTCTTTTCTGAACACGGTGCGTTTCAAGCTGTCCGTGGTGAATGGCAGAAACCACTTGGAGAACTGCATCACTCTGCAAAAGGCATAAAAGATATAGACGTCCTGGACACTTCCCTTTGCTTCGGAACCATATCCGATCCTGGCCGGCGCCTCCATTATATGGCGCTTTGCGCGAGGGAGCGTCAGGTGAGGTCACACCAGATGGGCATTCTTCATCCCGCCAACCCAAGGATGCCAGTTTTGAAATCATCTCCACCACGGTGAGTGCGGATGCGGACACCTGATTGTTGGTGTAAAGAGTCAGCTTGACGGGTGTGCCGTACATGATAACGGGCGTGATCCTCGAAGCAGCCGTTTCCGTCAAAAAGAAAAAGTCTTGCACCAGTGAAGCAACCCAGCCATGATCGAGAAGACCGTCCATTTCGCGGCTCGAAAGGACAAACCCTGCTGTCGCTGCAGTGAAACTGCCAAAGTGAGCTAGCTCCAGAAGCTGGTCAAGCATGACTTTCTGATGCTTGGGACCAGCGAGCCTTGGTGACAAAATGCTTCGGGGCAAATCAAATCTGTATATTTTCCCTCTGTCATTGTCATGTGTCATGAGTCATGGGCAAGGCTCCTAGCCGTAGCCACTGGCAATGCTGCTTGGACGTTACTGTTGGATATTTTGCGCAGTGCGCAGTTCCCACCCCGCACCTCTGCAGTCCCGCCCCCGCTGGCCCGTATTCTTTCAATAGCATGCAACATGGTGGCAACATGGCGACAATGTAAATCACCGTGTGGGCATGAGTTGCGTCCCCAGCCGCATGGGCAACATTGCTACATCTCAGGGCCAAGGCGCTCACTGCCAACAAAGTCTGCCGCGAGGTCTGCGACTAGACCACCATCGCATTTGTACTCAATGTACTCAGCGGCAGTCCAGACGTGGAATGCAGCAAGCTTCTGCAGCAAGGTCTGCGCGCTCTCCCCACAGCGTAACCTTGGAATTTGGTTGGCAGACCGACAGACCGGCAGGCAAGCACTCCAAAAAATGGACCTGGAAACTGGAGAGTAAAAAACAATGTGAATCTATGGCCCGTGACCCGCCCCGCCGCCCCGCCCCCCCAAAAATGTTGATGCGATGAGCCACGTCACCAGCTGCAACACAACAAGTTGTCTGCGCTATGATCGGCGCACCCAGTCACCCCCACTCTGGACAGCTTCCCGTTTGTGACAGCGGCTGCCCGGACCTCCTGCTTCTTCACAATGCAGTCTACCTCACAAGTGTTTTCACAACACTGCTCAGTGCTCACCACCCTGGGCACATTCAATTTATAGGCTGCATGATGCAGCATGGCAGCATGGTTACAGTTTCCACCGGTCACCCAGACATGTGCCCAAATGTGCTACATGATTTCAAGTTTCAAGGATAGAGAATTGCCATTGCCCAACTTCCCAACCAAGCCTTGGCCAGCGCATCTTGCGTCATGTCGCCACAAATTGTCAGGCTTGCAAGGTTGTCGCTGACCATCTTGAAGAAAACAGTGTCAGAGGCTGCAGACAAATTTGCAGCGCGGACTCCGACACTGGGACCAGAGTCGGCGCTGGGCTGCCCAGACTCGGGCTGCTTCCCCACTGGCTGCCACGAAGCAGAGATCTCATCTTCCGAGAAAAGCTTCCGCTTGCAAGTCTCACGCAGCCTTTGCTTCGACAGCTCATTGCCTGCGGCTTCGACCCATTGGTCGCATGTCAAACGACCCTGACTCAGTCAGCTCCGCTGAAACGTGTGAAACAAGTGATCAATCAATGTGATGTGATGTGAATCTGTGAATCTGGTCTGAATCTGAGCTTCTGAAGTGAAGGTTGAAGGTTATGAATGATTCTTAAATTACTAGTCTTCCTGAAGATTCTGAAATCTGAAGTCGCCGTCTGAAGTTCTGAATTCCAGTAGCTCAAAACCTAGCACTACACGACTACTACAACTTCAAACAACCGCCCCAAAAAGTGTGTTTTGCAGGCCAGCCTGAGCTGCCTGTGACTCTTGCTAGCGGCATCACGGAGTCCGTCTCCAGCAGTGACTTTGGCGCCGCAAAGATGACCGGGTCCCCGCGAAGCCCCACCTGGCGGAGGAATGGGCGGCGAGTGGAATGGGGGTGGAATGAAGCGAAAAATGTGCGCGCGCACGTGTGTCTGCAGGCCTGCACCAAGTGCGCCACGAGCATCTGCACCCGGACATCACTATGCTTTGCAGGACGAGCTGAGCCACCCTTCTTGGCCTCCTGGGCCGCATCGTAGAACGCTTGCTTGAGCCGGCTCTTGTCTGCATGCTTCACGGTGATATCATCCCGGTAGATCAGCGTCACAATCTCGGCGATGGGCCGCATCTGGAGCTGTGGTGTGGGGGAAATGCCGCACATTTTCCTCAGCGAAATTGCATTGCGCAGCAGTACAACAGCACGATGCTTAGAGGCCGGCTGAGTCGGCTGAGTGGTCCAATTTATCAAGGCTCTATGATACCGTTGGGGGCCGGCGAATCAAACCCGGCCAAGCCGCAAGATAGCGGCTCGAAGGCCCGCTTCCCTCACCAGCGGAGAGAGGATGTCTGCCAGGTCGCGAAGGCACTGGCGGGCGAGCCATGAGCCATGTCAGGAAAACTTTGGGAAAGGTTTGCAAGGGTCCTCCAAATGCCTTCTGTATTTGCGCCCATCATCTCACGGCAACACTCTCCAAACTTGATTACTGACTACTTGGCTTGTTTCAAAGCAAATTTCCCAGCCAGCCTGTGGTTGCAGACGCAAACGCTCAGCCAGCTTCGGGAAGCGTAGCATGCAACTAATGTGAGCAGTGGAGGCGTTGGGAGCCTTCCGGATGAGGCCCGTGGCACGACTGTGCCAGCCTTCTATCGGTCTCTCAGAGCAGGGTATGAAAGCAAATGCAGAGACCCAATTCAGAAAATTGGGGTCGGTAATCTGCTCCACGAGGATGCTGCCACTCGCCAACTGCTCAACCTTGCACAGCTCATGTCACAGTTCATGGGCTCATGTTACTTCCAATGAATGAATGCTAGCAAACATAGGTACATCAAAAGCTCCCTACCGAATTGTCCCAGGGCACTAACGGGCGCAGAGGTTGCTCATCGTTGCCATTCAGCCCCTGCCACTGAGGGTTGAGGAACCGCTGGCTCTGGCAATGCTTCCACCCCGGCCGGAGCCGCTGGCTTGCATCATCATAGAGCTGCAGCGCGCGAGCGGCGCATGACGCAACCTGGCACGGGAAGATGGAAACTGGGCTGTTAGTATTGGTCAAGGTGCCGGAGGGTCCGAGTCCGAGCAATTGTCAAACTAAAAATTATTCGCTATGTCAACCGAGCCGAGCAACCATCTCGCTTTGAACATGGGCTAACCCGCACAAAATGTATGGGAGCTCTTGCCAATAGCTCAGCTTGGCCGACATGGTTGTCATAATTTCAGAGAGCATCTTTTCCCAGTCAGCATAGAGCCGCGCCATGTCCGCGCTTGTCCCGACCTCGTGGATGTAGGTCTTGAGGCGTGGGGCAGTTTGCGCTGCAACTTCCCGGAGCTGCCTGAGAGCATCGCCAGCACTGAGCTCCGGCGCTCTGTTACCTGAGAAGTGGCACGCTCATGTCGAACCATTGCTAAAGCTTGAATGCGAATTTCATCACAGTTCCAAATTGGAGTTATGGATAAGATATCAATTAATTATCAATGTTTAGAAAACACTCATAATGACCCAAACATACAACTCCAAAACACATACCTAATAACAACACCCGGACCGGACCGGACCGGACCATAATTACCAAAAGAAATAGTAAACCCGGGGCCTGGGACTCCGGGACCCAGAAGCCAGGAAGTTAAACAATAACTTGAAACACGTTGACACTGGACACGCTGGCCAGCTAGCTAGACGAGCGATGTGAAGCTCACAGTAAGCCAGGAAAGAAAGTATGCAAGTTAGCAATCAAGCAAACAAAGCAAAAAAAAAAACAAAAAAAAGAGGCTTGACAACTGACAACTTGACAGTTTTGGCGGGGCGGCCTTTGAAGGGGCAACTAGGAGGCGCTGGCAACCTTCGCTTCTCGGCCGTGGAGGACACGGCCCAGATGTGAATGTGGTCGCTGTGGCAGATGCAACCTTCCTGGGACCCCATATTCCCCATATGGCCGTTTTTTGGTCACACCGACACCGACGCCTTTGACCGAAAAAATGGCCACACAGTTGTTTACGGCTTTTTTTCGACAACATGTCCGAAAAAATATGGGTTTCATGCGGGTGATTGACGCAAATGACCGAAAAATCATGGCCATACAGGCAAATACGGCCAAATACGGGAGTTTGACCGAAAAAAACAGCCATACGGTCATACGGGGCCCAGGTTCACTCCACCGACCTGTGTGTTCCGCCAGCAGCCCCAGGTCCCGCACCATCTTGCAGCAGCACCAGAAAACGCTGCTGTTGAGCACCTTGCAGGCTCGGGCTGGCGTGATGGAATGAACGCGCTAGACACAGAACCAGATTTAGCAAGCCAGTAAATCAAGAGGCCTTGTCCAAGCGGTCTGCGCGAGGTCCCGGGGCCTCATCGGTGCCAGAGGCAGCGCGGGAAGGCGCAGACTCCATCCCCGCGCAGTACTTGCCCTTGTGCCAGTACTTCCGCAGGTCGCGCTCGACGCAAGTCAACTGAGCAGCGTTGCGAAAGCCAAACAACAATGATTGGGCGACACGTCGTGCTGAAAAAATGAACACCCATGAACAATCATCAGCTCACCAACATTGACATCGTTACATCAATGACATCTGGACGTTTTTTTACAATTGCCCAGGCACAGCAGCGCAGAAGTCAACCAGCCGTTCCCACCGGAGCGACTTCAGCGAGATGCTCCACGATCGAAAAGATGATCGCGCCTCCTCGCCATGAACCAATGGTCCGGTCCGGTGCCATGGTGGCCGACAATCATGCGTGAATGGCAGCGTGCGCTTCGCAATGAAACAAAATTAGGTCTTCGCACGCAACGCTGCTGACTGCTCACTCAAAACTCAATCGTCCTTGTCACGTTCAGGGATGCAGTGCGAGATGAAAGCTTCCCGCGGCATTACACGCCCGACCAAGCGCTCAACTTCGTGAATCTGCCGGTTGAAGTTGCCCCAACTCAGTGACTCAGTGATCAACAAAAGGCAAGACCTGCTGGCCTGCTGGCGCTAAAATGGACATGTGCAATGCAAGCTGTTGCACAAGTGAATTGAAATACAATCGTTGCAAAAACCCGATACCAAAGATCCTCTCACCTGAATCAAGCATAGGGGCAAGCTGAGTCTTTCCAAGCACGACTTCAGCAGGTTATCACTGACGTGCTTCAAGCCTGCCACTTTGATGCTATTCGGCATCCTCGGAACGCCGGCCGCCAAGCGGACCCAACCCAGCGGACGAAAGAAATCAATCATGTACTTACTTATAAGCACGTCTTCTGAAATAGAACGCATCCTCATCCGACATTCGATGCGAGTGATATGAGTCCGAGTCACAATTTCCCACCTGGCAGAACCTCCGCGTCAGCCGGCAGCACGATAGGCTCACTGCCCAGCACAGCCGCTTCGTCCGCAATCCATTGGTCGAGCTGCACAGCGGGGCTGTCGCCCAAAGCGAACTCTGTTCCTTGCGAATAGACCAACTGGGCTGGGCTGTCACAGAATGGATGGAAAAAGAACACCGCCGCACTGCACCGGGCGTATGTATGTATGTTTGTACGGATGTCTGTATTAGTATGCATGCAAGCATGCATGACATGCATGCATGTATGTATGTACGTGTATGTGTGTATGTATGTATGTATGGATGGATGGATGTATGGATGTGTGTATGTGTGTATGTGTGTATGTGTGTGTATGTATGTATGTATGTATGTATGCATGTAGTACGCATGTATGTATGTATGTATGTATGTATGTATGTATGCATGTCGTATGTATGTATGTATCAATGTATGTATATATATATATATGTGTGTGTATGACGTAGTGTGTATGTATGTATGTATCTAGGTAGGTAGGTAGGTAGGTAGGTAGGTAGGTAGGTAGGTAGGTAGGTAGGTAGGTACTTAGGTAGGTAGGTACGTAGGTAGGTGGGTAGTAGGTAGATAGATAGGTAAGTAGGTAGGTGGGTAGGAGGTAGGTAGCTATGTGGGTATGTGTGTGTATGTGTGTATGTATCTGGGCACTGGGTGAGCTGTGAATGTGAACTGTGAATATACACAACACACACTGCCGTGGCTGCCGTGTAGGTTCGAGTTCGCCCCGTGTGTAACTTATACCGCAGCACAATCGTGCCTGTGTAGGCGATTCAGTGATACCTCTATCAATGAGAGCAATGCAAACTGTCCTTGATCGCTCGTCGTCGAGACCACCGATTGGAAGTATCGAAGGCGATCTTCTAGAGCGACCTCCAAGCCAACAGCGTGCAGGAGCGCAGCCAACTTGTCGGCCGCGGTTGTGTGACCGCGCCCCAACGTGGTAACCGGCAGCAACCGCGTCTCTGGCCCAGCGCCATCCTCGCTGGCCAGCTCAAGCAGGGTTTCCTCTCAGAGCAGTGGCCGGGGCCGTCTTGGAACATTGGGGCTGGGCCAAACAAGGCTGAACTTGGAAATGTTGGGCAACTCAGTTTAATTCAGTCCTCCTCCTCCTCCTCCTCAACAAGAGCCGCCATTGGGTCGGTCGTCGCAGTGGCCCGCATTGCTGCGAGCAGAGCCCGGGAGACATCTTGCCTGGACTGAGACAATAGAGCAGCGAGGGGGGCAGAGGCAGGTACCCCGGGCGGCCCCGGCCCGGGTGGGGTATTTCATGGGGCAAAGGGCCCACCTCAATCAACCCTGGCAGGACAAGCCGGCACCAAAAACTGCTGCCTAGCTGCAACACAGACACTTCCTGTATGAGAAAGATGTCTTTCTTCACGGGCGAAGAGTCATAGAACAAGAAGACAAAGTGCCGCGACAAACGGCCCGGGTCGCGCGAGAACCGCTCTCTCCAGCTTGCCCTTCTCAAGAGCATCAAGGCTATATCAAGTTTGGCCTTTGCCCTGCTCAAGGTGGCCTGCCAGGGCACTACGCAATGCCGGGTGGCAAACAGGATGCCTGATGCCTGACACGTGTACCGTAAACGGGATTGAGCAACATCCCTAATCCGTGACATCAAACAACCCAGCCAGCGGCGCCGGCGCAATGGTAGAAATAAGCAGGCAAACTGAAGAACTAAAAATACACTTGAAAACAGGATGCTCCTGCTTGTGGACTCCTGATCTCCTGCTTGCCGCAAAGTCGCAAATTGTCGCAAAGAGAGAAAAAAACTAAAGAAGGGTTTGAAGGGTTGAAGGGAAATGTGAAATGAGCAACAGAAAAATGAAGGAGATAGACAGTGACAGTGATAGACAAACAGTTACGAAGTGAACTGCTAGACACTGCTAGCACTGCTAGGTAGAGGTCTTAAGATGCACTGCCGGCGCCGGCGGGGCCTCGTGAATGGTGGCCTCCCAATCGAAGCGAAAATCCTGCCCATAGACCAGCTTAAAGGCAGACTCCAGAACCGACGCCATCCGGCTACCCGATCGAAGATGGAAAGCCCTGTGCTGGCCAGTGGCGACAGCAATTCAACCCGCAACCCAAACAATGAAAAGCAACCATCGGGAATCGGGAATCGGGAAAAAGCGACTTCAATAGCGATCTGTAATTGAGACGAGGCACACCTGCATATACTGGAACAGCTGCTGCAGAGAATACGACGGAGCCCCCACATGCCTCAGTTGCCCAAAGGACCTGTTTATAAAAGGTTAACCTTTTGGGACCTCTACTAAAAATCGATCAAAAAGGGAAAACCAAAAGGTCAAAATTTGGTCAAAAGGTCTGCTTTGAACAACTGAGATGCCCTTTCGACGCGGGCTGGAGATTGCCAGAGGCCTCAGTGTCAGCAGTCTCAGTCTCTCTCAGTAACACGCAACCGCACCGGGTGCACCGGGTGCACCGGCACAAAAACAATGTCACGTCATGGTCATGGCCCCTGCTGCAGCCATGCTGCGCCACCAGAAAGCTTCCGCAGCGAGTCCAAGGCAGTCTGGAAGCTGGCCTTCTCGAGCTCGGATCCATGGCGCACAATCGCAGGCTGCGCTACCACCAGCTGACTATGAATCTGAGCGAGCGTGCTTGGAAGCGACATGAGCTGACGTTACGATGCATGTCTGCTGTTGCACTGCTGCTGCGTTGCTGCCAAGAAACTTGGAATCGGGGGCCCATTGGGGCCCGGCATGAGGGGAATCCAGTTTGCTCGCTCCCATTCTGTTTTTTGCGTAAGGATCTGCCGGCACGTCAGCTCTTGCCTCCAAACAACGCCGCTTGATGCAAAAGTGGCCGGTGTCCATGAGTTTGCAACATGCCCCCCAAACCTATGTATGCAAATCAGCTAAGAAAACGACCCATTTTTGAGGGCCATCATCATGTCATCACTTTCCCACAGCGTGCTAATGATAAGTTGCAATTCTTAAGTTTCACAACAAACTGGACCCCACCAGCATGAAAATCTGCCACACAATTGGCTGGAGATGCCCTTGTCAAAAGCCGTTTTTTGCAGGGTAAAAATAATGGAACGCATGTCCTACCTGACGCAAACTCACCCCAGAAGTGATTTCCAACAAATGCCTGATTTTTCCTGATCAGTTGGAACTCTATCTGAAAAATGGCCCCAACCGGCTCACACATCCCAACTTCAAACACCCGTCACACTCCTGACACCCCCTTTACTGCCCCTAAACCCCAAACACGCCAACCGTCAAATCAATTGGGCAACCACCTAAATGCCTCAAATTCAAGGACTACGGTTTCCACATGTTGCGTCACCATCTCAAAGCTTAATCGCTGACCCCCCCCCGGGGCCCAATTAATTACGCAAGTTGACACGCTTCCCACTTGAAAAAGACGCCGATGGGAGCGGCGCACCTCCGTCGCAGCCGTCCAGCCGCCCGTCCGCCGGACAGGCGGCTTCCTGAAGAAAAGGATGACGACGATCTACGTGGACAGCCGCAAGAGGGTGGCCGGCTTGGACAGCGACTTTGAGGTTGACCTGGGAGAGTCGCTGAACCTGCAGAGCGACGCCCGGCTGGCCGTCTACAAGATCCGCTTGGCCGACAGTTTCCTGTCCACGGACCGGGGCCGCTACCTCTACTGGGTCGACGCCGCGCTGGGCACGCTGAACTGGGCGCTGTTGCCCGAGGGCGCTGGGCGGCTGGCCGCCTGGGTCAGCTCCAACTTTGCCACCGCCACCTATAGCGAGACCACAAACAGCCTGAGCGTTGCCTACGACGGCAACGGCTGATCCTGAACGACCTGGAGCTGCGCCAGCAATTTCCTAACGCAGCGGACTACCCTGCTGCGCCGCCCGCCTCTCCGACCAAGCCCTTCAGCGTGGACCACAGGTCTTTGAGTTCGTCCGGATGATGGCGCACAACGAGGTCCACCTGCGCTGTGCCCAGCTGGCCAACGCCAGCCGACCTGGGCAACCTGGGCGACGACATCCTCTCCAAGACTGAAGAGCGGCGTGGGTACCATTGTGGAGACGGGCTCCGACGACGGGCGCTTCATGGCCCTCAGGGGCCCCGTCACCCTGAGGCACATGCGCTTCCGGCTGACCGACCTGGACGGCAA